AAAAATTATAAATTTCATAATTTATCTATTGATTTGTGGTTAATATTGGTTCTCACAGTTATCACAAACTAATTAGTTCTCATTTGATTAGGCCCTACATATATATATATATATATATATATATATATATATATAGATACATACATATATATAGATACATACAAAACCAACTAGTCTAGATACATACATATATACATATATAGATAGAGTATTTTACCGGTGTTTCCATAGTGGCGGCGGACGATGGTGGATGGCAACGATTCACGGTGGTTGGTGGTGGCGGAGGGTGGTGAATGGCGGCGAATGGTGGTCGGTGGTGCCGGAGGTGGTGGATGGCGGCGGATCACGGTGGTCGTTGGCAGCGGAAGGTGGTCGGTGGGGGCGGTTCATGGTGGTCGGTGGCGGCGAAAGGTGATCGATGTCATTAGACGGTGGTGGATGACGGTATATCGAAGAATGGTGGTTGTTTTTGGTCGGGATGGTCGGTGGGGATGGTCCAAACTCCGTTTTTCTAGAGAAAACGAACGGTGAGGATAGTGAACTTATGGTCCCCCACCACTGCCTATTTATATAAAACGAAGCAATAAAATAAAATTCATCGTCAAATCGACGTCATAGAGGCGTCATAGCATGAAAAAAACGCAAAATACAGTCAAGCTACGTAAATCAAATATAATATCTGATTTTTTCCAAAAATCAGCTAAAAATAATTTTTTCGTAACCACAATTATCATTGTCTTATTTTATAACAAAAAACATGAAATTTTTACTTAAATAAGTTAAAAAACACAGTTTATGTATTGTTTTATTTGTATTAAAAACACCCCTTAATTGTCAAATGATCGTCAAATCAAGAACACTAAAAGACGAAATAGCGGTCAAATTTTGTAAATCAGATATAATATCTGATTTACGTCCCCCAAATCAGATAAAAATAACCTCTCCATAATTATCATGGTTTATTTTTAAACTTTTAACTTTGGTTCTAAAAAAGTTAAAAAATACAATTTAAATAGCGTATCAGTTTTATTAAAAATACTGCAAAAAATAAGAAAAAACACCCCCTTAAAGGCTCGATCGCCCCCAAGGGGTTGTTTGGCTTAGGTGGCTCGCCCTTGGGGGGCGATCGGACACATCGCTCGCCCTAGGGGGGTTCGGGAACGCATATCGAGGGTGCATAGTAATATCCTCTTTTTAGGATTAATGTGGGACCCACCAAAATAATTTTTTATTTTTTTTACCTTTTTCATAAGGATTTAAGGGGATCGCCCCTAATATGTACGGATCAGCCCCGGGGGCGATTCGTGTGGGTATTTTTGAATAAATGTTTGTAAAAATGGTTATTTTGTTAGAGAAGGTTGTATAAATTGGTTAGCTTGGTGATTTTCCCGACATTTTAAGTAAATAAAAAACAACATATTCAACCAATTAAATCAGATATTGGGTTTCAAACATCAATTCATTTAAGAAAGTCTGTCAAATTTTCCTTGAAGATGGGGTTCATGAACATTAATTGGGATCATCTCTTCATTAGGTAGAGTTGGTCAAAGTGATAGCAACAAGAGAACAGGTTTTCAAATAATGTATTTGAATATAAACAAAGCCCGAATTCAGGATCGGTCGTTTTCAGTACGAAAGCAAGACAGGTTAACCGTTTCGATTTCTTAAGAACTCCGAAAATAAAAGCTTATTCCATTTTTGTAAATAAAAATATTAAGTGTTAAATTTCGGAAACCAGATAAATACAAAAATGAGGTTTTAAACGTGGTTTAATTTCAAAACAGATAAAAAAGCATAAGGTAACTGCCTATATTTATTTAGTGAAAGCGAGATTGCTATTTGCATGGTTTTAGCGACCTAGTTTTGACTTCTTTTACAATACTTTAGAGACTATCGTATTTGATATTTTGCAACATTTGTTTAAAAAAATCAAAAACAAAAACAAAAACAAAAACAACCTTGCGTTTTACAGAGAAAACGCTTAAGACCTATATTCAAAAGAAATGGTCCATCATCACACCCCCTTCCAATAAAGGCTACACCGGTATAATTCCGCAAAATATCAAGTTCATTTATAGAGGTAGACCCTAATTTTAATACCATATGAAATATGCGAAGCTCCATCTCATTAAAAAGAAATGCAACATATACCGAGAAAAAAGGGTTCAAGGGTTCAACTTTAACCCTGGTGGGACCCAATTACTCGTGTGTATTTTCGATTCTCGAACGTTTTCCACGATTCTACTCCAATACGAATAAACCCAAGTATCATTAACATTCAAGAAACGTGGTATAACCTTACAAACACGCGATTATAATCACATAAACACCAACCAACCAAAACGATATAATGATACAAAACACCAAACAAATATCCAAATCAAACCGAAAGAGTGCATTACGCAAAGAGAACCTGCGCACTTGAAGGTGTCAAGTTTGCAAACGCCTCGGGTGCTTCGATTACTTGCCATTGAACTAAAAAGCTCGGGTTTTTCTCACTTCCATTCAAACTAAAAATACGACCGACGGCAACATGAAGGTTTCTTCCCACAACGTAAATCCTACTATTACAGCAATTTACCGAAAACGGCTTGCAAATCTGTTCCGGTAACGGAGGCCCATCGACCGTTTTCCAAGAATCGTTATTCATATCGTAAACCTTGAGCTTTGTTCTTTCATGCTCTGTTACCACAAACAAATGTCCGTAAACCACGACACTCGAACCCGTCCATCCTTCTCTAAGCCCATCAGCCATGTTTTCCCATTTATCGGTTCTTGGATCGTAAATCTGACCCCTTGGCACAACATAAAACGGCCAAAACCACCCTTCAGTCACAAGAAGTTTTCCGTTAAGAACCGCTGCATCATAAGAAGCCATATTTGTGCCCATATTCGCAATCGGGTGCCAGATCCCCTTTTTGGGGTCCATAACCTCGGCCGAATTGAGCTCAAAAAGATCCGTACTGTTGCCACCCGCCACGTAAATCTTCCCATTGATGACCCCACTCGCGAAAAAAGACCTTGGTGTGATCATCTTCCGCATCACGGTCCAAGAATTCTTTTGAACTTCGAATTTCATCACCAAATTAAGCGGGCAATCGGCGTCAAACACCACCCCTCCACAGACAAAAAGCGATCCCTCAAATGGGAACGACACCGACCTAAATCCATGTGGACAAACCTTATCGATGCACGGCATTGACGGAATCGTATGCCACGAAAAGTGCGTAAGATCTAGAACATCCCATTGAATCTTTCCGGTACATTTATGAAACGAAAACACAAATAACCACGGATCTTGAAACCCCATTTCTTTTCTTCGTGTAAAGAACCGTTCTTTGTTTGCAAACAACTGATACCAACGTTTGCAGACCGCTCGGGTAGCCGAATGGCTAGCCACCGGCAGCCTAAGAAGACAACTCAAGGCAATATCATCAGGAAGGCCCGGGACTAGCGGTTCACCCCTAAGACTCAATTCGGATTCCACGAAAGGATCCAGAAGACGAGATTGAATCGCGGCTAACTTAAATTTTGGAGATAATGTCATCTGTGAATCTCCTAACTTCTGTACTGGTACTTGCTGTGATGAAACTCTAACTCTTTGCATCTTTTTTCTTTTTTCACGAATCCAAGAACCCAAATGCACAAAAGCTTATAAATCCCAAGCTCAAATTCTAGAACCCTAAAGCACAAAAAGACTATAAATTCCAGCTCAAATCCAAGAACCCTAAAGCACAAAAGCTTATAAACCCCAATTTGAATCCAAGAACCAGAATGGAACAAAAGCTTATAACGCCCAATTTGAATCCAAGAAACAAAAGGAACAAAAGCTTATGAACCCCAACTTGAATCCAAGAACCAGAAAGGAACAAAAGCTTATAAACCCCAATTTGAATCCAAGAACCAAAAGGAACAAAAGCTTATAAACCCCAGTTCAAATCCAAGAATCAGAAAGGAGCAGAAGTTTACAAAACCCAATTTGAATCCAAGAACCAGAAAGGAAGAAAAGGTTATAAACCCCAATTTGAATTCCAAGAACCAGAAAGGAAGAAAAGCTTATAAACCCCAGTTCAAATCCAAGAATCAGAAAGAAAGAAAAAGGTTATAAACCCCAATTTGAATCAATTCCTTCAAGAATTACACTATTCCTCTGCTGTCTAATTTCAAAGGGCAGAGCAAATAGGACAGAATTCAGGTCCAATTGCAAAGAACCCTTTTTGACACCACTTGAGTTGTCTTTTGCACAATATGAAAGAAGCAAAACCAGTTCATATGTCATGTGATCGTGTTCAATCACATCAAAAATGACCAAACACAACATAAAAACAAAACCCCATCTAGAAAAGAAACTGATCTCAAAGTCAGTTTTTGCTGCAGGAAAGCATACAAATACAAAATATTTTTATCTTATCTCCCCTAAAAGATAACACCTTTTCAAGAATTCTACAGTTTGTTTAAACTTTCCCAAGATTTAAATCAACAAATTTTCTGAAACCCCCCAATAGTTGAAGAATCAAGCAAAGATTATGATCTGGCAACAGTTCTAATTGGAATAAGAATCTGTTGAAAAGAGGTAAAAGACAGAGAAGAAAGCAAAATCGATGAAGAAAAAGATGAACAACTTACAGGAGGAATAGATTAAAGATGCAGACAGATTGCAAGTTTCGATTGATTGAGAAAAGTGTTGTTTGTTCGTCTGTAAGTTTTTGTGGTGGAAATATTTTAATTGGTTTTGGTGGGCTGAAATGAAACCCTCAAAGAAGCAAAGAAAGAAAGTATATGTGGCAAACATGGGTTCATATATCCTTGAAAGCCAATAATTCCCACGCGCAACACAAGAACGTGGACAGAAAGGTCGAAAAGGGTGAACCACAAATCAGACCCACCCGTGCACGCCACTGCCGACCCTCAATTCAGAAAGGAGGTCAGACCCATCAATGCGTAGAGCCTTGGACCAGAACCTATATTATATCTAATTATCATTATATATACTATATTATAAAACATTTGGCTAAAACTCTTAAAAACTCTTAAACTCTTAAAACTCTTAAACCCGTTCATCCTTAAACGATTTCATCATTATCCAATTTCATCCCATAACTGAATTCGTGTAACTAACTGCTGATAAACACAATCCAATACAGGATAAACATCTCATTTTAATATAAAAAATCTATAATATAATTAGGATAATCATTGAGTTCTAACAAAATACTTAATTATTATCTTTATAAAATGTTATATTATTAAACCAAAAATAAATTATTTCATTATTAAACTTAAATTAAATTAAAAA